TTATTAAAATATTTCAAAATAAATAATTAATAATCACTTTAGTTTTACCTGTGCTTACCGTTACCGGTAAGTCACTAAACAAGACTACATCCCTAGCGGTGCTACTACAGTTTGCTTAAATGCAAGTCAAGCAAGACTTTTTAATGCACAGACTAATATAATGGTACGCATAAACGTGTTCAACAACTTTTTATTTATAAAAAGAAAAAAATATAATTATTACGATTAATTTGTACACTATTTACAAATAAATATGTATTAAAATTTTAACGATTTATTTTTTTAATGATGATGTTGAACATTAATCAAGTCTAAAATGCTCAGTCTGTTAACAAAGCGAATGGGTTTGTAGGAGTAATAATACGACGTAATTGGCTTGCATGTGTGCCTCCGGCGACGCCGATCTTCATACAAAATAAGGTTGGCAGCCATTCTTTTCGTATTATAGTATTCTATGAGATAAAAATACAAATTATTGCTTCACATGTGTAGCAACCCTAGCATAGAAAATTTACAAATGTTAGGTACATTTATAAATTTTCTAATCTTATTACAGTCGAAAAATAAAATCAATATTATGATAACCGTTACAAAGTACTATTTGTTTAATATAATCAGTATATCATAATTTACAATTACTGTAAAGGCACCCGACTGTAATTGAAGCACCCCATTGCCCGGGTCGTTGACTCCCGCTTCATTTCGTTACCGGATATTTTATCAGTTGTGATAATTTTCGAACAAAAAGTCGCGATGAAAAAGCGAAATGAGAAACACTAGTTCGTTTAGTGTGAGTCCATTCGTCGAATGAATTACGTGAGGTCGGCAGCGTGTTTCGAGTCAAATAGATAAATAGTTATCCTGCGATCAGCGTATGACACCGCATACTTTAGAATACTGTAGGTCGTCGACCTTACGGAAGCCGAGGCGGAAACCTGCAGGAGAACTTTATCAATATATATATATATATATATATATATATATATATATATCACAAACGCTGATGGAATAAATAGCAACTAACATTTCCAAGCAATCGCAGACCCGTTTCAGTGTGATATGGCTATAATTAAATAATAAGACCCGCGTACTTCCTAAGCTACGTTTTCCTATGACTTCGAATGCACATGCTTTCTATAACCTAAACCATAATTTAATTTACAGATGAAACTGGATATGAATTTATTCAAGTCAGATGTTATGGAATATATATATATATAGTATACAAGACTTATTTTTTAAATTTAGATGATGAAAACTGACCATTGAGAAAGTCAAAATACGACCCTGAAGGTCCATTCGAAACGACAAAGTTTAGAATTTTTTATTTTGCAATTAGCACAACAACTCAAACAACCGTTTATCAACGGCAGTCTGTTTAAAATTTCAATTAACTAGTAGATTGTGTCTAATCGGAAAATTTTACAACATATTTTGCTTTAAAAGTTCAACAATATAAACGTTCACACACAACAGAAACAATAATTCTTGTGAACTTCAAATAGCATTTTGTTACAGTATTTCGTACTAATTAAAAAAAATAATCAGAGCTCATTTGACAATATCACAATATTGAAAGAAAGTTTATTTGTCTCTTAATATCGCTTTCTGAACGAAACGGATTTATTAAATGAACACTAGTTTTACCTGATATTGATTTGTAGCGTCAAAAATTTTGACAAAACAGACAATATTTGAAAAAAGTTCGGTAATGTGTCATAATTTCTTTATGATTATGCAAAAACATTTATCAAACATATTATTATTTATTGCACTTTCTCCTACAAAATAATTCAATGGGAGGAGTACCGTATTGAAAAAGGCCTTCTCAGTTCTCACATACGAGTACTTATTATACATAAATAAAAAAAATAATTCATTAATTAATTTCATTTCATTAAATTTCATTAATTTCATTTCCTATCCTGAAAAAAAATATGAATCAATAATCAGAAGCAAAACAACTCAACTAACGACCTGACTGGAAAAACAATGTTATAGAAGACTTTTTGTACGGAATTATAAATGAATTTAGATATCGTAAATAAAAATAATTGTATAAGAGCGCCAATAGTAGGTACAAAGACCTTGAACAACATCGCGTATTATTAAGCACGTAAAGCCAAACAATGAAAATTATTTAGTTATTAAAGTAATCAATCAAGTACGGTAAACGAACGTGAAATGAATTCAAACAATATTTTCTATAGGAATATTGAACAACTAAAACGCTATTATTGAATGCAAAAAAGCTACAAACATACTCCCGTACGCAAACCGGATGATTTAATTCGTCATTTTATAATCTGTTTAGCGATGTAATTGGTTGAATAGCCGTCTGACACTCTATTTGCTTTCATATCTTACAAAGAGGACACAAAGTAAAATCTTTTAGGTTTACCGCATCATGTTTAATAATCCTTTCAAACTTTCAACACAACGGATCGGCTAGTTGTCACATAAATTTTATAGTTTCGGTAGTTTGCGTTACGAAATTGACAAGTGGATTCCTTTATTTACTTCTGTTAAATTAACAAGCAAACGATGTTGCCGAACTAGTTTCTTGATTAATTACTTTGAACTGTTCTAAGCTTGTCGCTCATTACTTTAGTTATTTGAATTAATATAGGATTTAGCCTTCTGGCTAGAACAGGATAGGATTATAATGCGGGAATGTGTGCGCAAGTACAGGTGCACTCCCTGTTCCTCTGATGCGAACCCTCGACCACGTGTTTGTTAAGATAACAATAGCAATAATACAGATTATTAAAAAAAACTGTTTGAAATGTATTTGATCTCAAAATCAACTGTCAATAATTTTACATTTTTGGAAGGAAATAAAAATGAGGTTATACCATACGATAAACTGTTGGGTAGTCTAATAAAATATTTACTGCTTGAAATGTACAGCGCTATTGAACCTGCGTTTACGTAGTATCAGGTTACAGCTGTACAGTGTATTAGTTATTTACTTATATGTTATTTTATTGCATGTATTGATATCATATTAGGTATATTTATATTGCACCACCTACCTAGTACTCACTGTTTTATTCCTTTACACCTTTGGTTGCCTGGAAGGGATCGCTATGTAGCGATAAGGCCGCAAAATTGTACATGTAATCTGCTCTCTGTTATGTTCTTTGTAAATTTGTTTGTGGTGTGCAATAAAGTATATTCATTCATTCATTCATTCATTACAGCGTATTTAGCGCTCAGCTAAGGAGGTTGACTATGAGCCACCTCTAATTCAGCTTATTGGATTATCTTGAGAACAAGCGCTCCGGGCTTGTTCATGGTGCTAGCTATTTGCACAAGACGTAACTTATTGACAATTTGCAAATAGCGTATTGTTTAATACCCACTAAATCGATTAATCATGATAATTATTAGGCTCTTAGTGTTTTTTTTTCAATGGAGGTACTTTTTATTATGATTTGGAGAACTTGTCACGAACTACTTTGAAACTTCAATGTAATTACTTCACTTTGATTTAAACGGGTTTTACTCAATGACATTTTTTGTTTGAGCAAAACATAATAAAGATATTGACAGTTAATTCGCAACCACCCGCTTAATTAAATCCAATGATGTATCTTACCTAGATTGAAGAGCACCTCCCGCCCTCCCTCAATTTCGTGCACTAATCCCGTCAACACTACTCCCAACACCACTACTAGGCATGTGGGCACGGACGTAGACTCCACGGCGGTTGACCGCGGTCAGCCGCCGTAGAGTCTACATCACCTGAAGATGCCTCGTGTAGAGGCGAAACACGTGTCGTATTATCGACGATGGTGTTTCTTTCCTGGAATAGTGGTGTTGAGAGTAGTGGTGTTGAGAGTAGTGGTGCTGGGATTAGTGGTGACGGGATTAGTGCACGCAGTTGAGGTGGGGCGGGAGGTGCTCTTCAATCTAAGTAAGACACATCATTGTATTTAATTAAGCGGATGGTTGCGAATTAACTGTCAATATCTTTATTATAATGGATTTCCGCAATGATCAAAACATATTTTACGCAGAAAATAAATACATTTTAAAATATGTTTCTCATCGACAATATGTATATGGGCGACGCTACTCGCCATTTGCTGAAATGGTCTAACACATTATAGAACTTTATAGCATAGTTATAACGCCAAAGCAAAGTAAATTGTTTATGCACCATAAACACGCAGCGAGCTTAGTGATTCCTCGACTTCATGGGAACTGTGCATGTTTATTTTCAATATCGTTCTAGGTAAATTAAATCTTACCTATGCTGTTAGTGTATTTTAAAATAAAATTATATGAAACCTCCACATTACGTGACACAAGGGACAAGAGTAATATATACATTATATTTTTTAATAACGAAGGAAGATGATTAAAATAGAAAATAGGATAATTACGTTTTGTTCTGTAATTTAAATAGTACCTGGATGACCGAGCTTTCCTCGGAAATTATATTTAGATACAAATTACATACTGATAAAATATGAATAATATTTTTGATCTTATTGATATAATACAAAAAACTGAACCGGTTTTTTGAATAAAAAATCATGAGTGCAATTAGTTTAATTTAAATTTTCGTATTTTTAAAAAAAATACTAAAAAAAGGGCTCGAAATAATAAATTTTCTCACAAAATAGATCTTGAAAAACAAAGGAAAAAAAGTCGGACCGTAGACAGAACGCGAACCAGGACACTTCAATTTCGCGACGGCCCGATATCCACTTGAGCTATTACGATCATTAATACTGTGTCAAAATTTACCTTCTTATATTGTAGCAGTTTTTCATTGCCTGAAAACACGGACAAAACAACATTTTCTAAAAATGAATCCTAGCTAGATCGATTTATTGTCCCCAAAACCCCCCGGACACTAAATTTTATGAAAATCGTTGGAGCTGTTTCCGAGATTCCGATTATGTATATATATATTTATTTATATAATACACACAAGAATTGCTCGTTTAAGGTATAGGATAATAAACAGTTAGTACAAACGAGCTTACCCAACGCCTCCGTTCAAGGCGGTCACCAAGCCAGGCCTCACATAGCACATATGCATGCCAGCTATGTCCGAACACTTTTTATTGACACTGATCGCAATTGTATAAATACCTTATCATATAAATGAATCCCTGACTCCACTTGCACTGATCTGCACTACAAATTTAAACGGTTTAATCCACACCTCGAACGAACATTTTCGTACGAACGAGCTTTCAACTTTTAACCGAAAAACAATACTGCACCAAGACGAGCACTGCGAGGCAAATTTATAATTGGTCATGGTGAATAAGAATCGAAATAAACCAATCATAATTAAATTTTATTATTAAAATTCGTAACATGTATCACTTGATCGCTGTAACCAATGAATATTCATATCAACCATCCTAACCGATTGCTAACAAAAGAAACGAACACAAAAACGATAAATTGAAAAGTATAATACCTAAATTTTATAATAAAGATACAGCATCATGGTACAACTGTTATATGATGATATAACATTAAAAAAAAAACAATAAATTTAGCATCAAATTTGAATATTCTTCTTCTTGCACAACTAAATTCATGTAGATTATAAAATTATTGTTGCGTAATAATCTAACAACGATAAAAGGTATGGACTGCGGAATTTAACGTCGTGTGATTGAATGTCTTTTTTATTGAAAAGGGGGCAAATGAGCATGCGGCTCACGTGATGGTAAATGTCGTCCGCCGCCCATGAACAGCTGCAATCAAAACCACGGGAATCGCAAGTGCGTTGTCAGCCTTTCAAAGAAGAGTAGGCTCTTTACTTGAACTTCCCTATGTCGCATCGGTCCGGAAAGATTTCTCCCGAAATTTTATGACGTCGGATAGGTGGACTTTGGAGCGTTTTGCATTTGAAATTAGCGGGAAATTGCAGGGATGGCCAACCGTATTTTTTTTTTAATTTTGTACTAAAAAAATTAATATACCATTTTTTTTCATATTCCTACGTTGTCATTCGATTCTGAGCTATGTTCAAATTTTCAAGTCTCTAGCTCATCGGAAAGTGCTCGAAATTTAAGTTGCAAGATACCATCCGGAACGATAGACATACATGACATGCAAGAAAATGATTTCATAAAAACGTGGTAACAAAATATAGCAGGATTTTTTATATTTATTTTATTTTTCTTTTAATTGCTCCATCATATTAATCTTTATACAGGAAAAGGTTCAGAATAATTCAATGCTTGTTTGGTTTTAGCCTAAGTTGATAATGATACATGAACTTGGTTGATGAATATTGCATACAAGATAAGACATTCTCAAGACAATAGAACTTTATCAACACGTTTGTGATAATCTATATCTATCAAGGTTAATTACCGGTGTGGATGAAGAGAGGAAATTTTCTTTTTGAGCCAAATTCTCGAGCGGACAACATTTAAGACACATTAACCTACTTTTAAGTCGCGACCGATCGGTTTGTCACCGGGATTTAATAAATGTTAAATAAACACAGGAAAAAGAAAACTGGTTACGTAAACCAAAGCAAGAAGAGAACAAAATAGTGACCCTACCATACCGCAACAATGTGATGTGCTTCTAAGAAATAGTCAATAGGAATTTTATAGAAAAAAAAATCAATAAAATTTTAAAATTAGCTCGACCATTAAAAGCAGTTAACATTTTTGAAAAAATCCGGATATTCTATAAAAATCATAAACATCAAACAAAGAAATAAACTATTAAAAAATTAGATACTGTTCAACCACATGTCTATAACGAAAGCTGAGAGTGTAATGCCATAAAATTTGCAAGAGCTTCGGGTTTTTTAACCGCCGTTTCAACAGAACTCTCGACTCGTGGGAAGATCAAATCAAAAAATCACACCCTAGTTAATAGATACATTTGACACGTTTTACAAGTTACGAAAAAAGAAGCCAGCGTTTTAAATAATTTACAATGTCAGAAATCTGAAAAATGCTAAAAGAAGTCTTAACATTAAGTAGGACTTGCAGATACCATGTAACATACTAGCAAAAGTCTTCGTTGTGATAGTGTTAACAATGTTTTTACCAATAAAAAAAATTGTCCAAAACTAAATATGTAAGTATACATATTGAGACTTATATCAAATAACTCATAAACATTAAAGGATGGTGATTCCATTTGTATAATTCAAACCATTTCATTCAATAATGTAAATAAAACATCAAAAATTATGAACAAGTCAACAACTACCTCCTCTCTACCTCCACCTCTTCTCTATTTACAGATCGTAAGCAGAAAGAGCAAAGCAAAAACATCTATAAAATAATGAGTCGTATTCTATTGATAATTTCCTCGAAAATATATCAGTTCAATTATTAGTAGACATGTAACGAGTACTCGGTTTGGATTCGGTACTCGGCGGATTCGGCCGTTTTTTAGGGTTCGGCCGAGCACCGAATATTAAGGGCCGATTACCGAGTACTCGGCCTTAATTATATTGCAGGGAAAAATAAAGACAAAAAGCCAGTTATTATCATTATTATTATATTAGACACATTAAAACATCAGGAACATGACAAACAGCAGAAATATTGAAAACGTAAATAAGAATCTATAATAGAAATTATGATCTTACTAATATTTAAAATTTAAGAGAGGAAGATTGTGATGCAAAAACACTAGCTTTTCGGCCCTATTTGGGTCTAGTTTGCTCCTTTTTGCTTCATATATTAAGCCCGCCTCTGAAAAAAGCCGTTCACTGTAAACTGAACTGGCTGGAGTTGATAAGTATTGAGCCGCAATATTTCCCAAGATGGGGTAATGAACTTTATTAGAAACCCACCATTTATATGGATTTGCATCTCTTGCGGCCCTTGGTACGCTTAAGTAATGATCTAACTCTGCTGCAGCGGAATTCTTAGGATCATTAGGCTGGTAACTAGTTGATGCGTCAGCGGCTTCTTCAAAACATTCCCAGAATAGATTATGAGCTTCAGAAGCAGTATGATCTCTATCTATCATTCTAGCTTTTTTTTCTGCTGGCTCTGCATCAATGACAAGTTCATCATCTTCTGTGTCTAGCGATATTTTTAGAGCTTCTCTTAGGACAGCCTTGCGAGCTTGATCTGCTTGATAAGCATTATAAAAGTTGATTTTGTAGCGTGGGTCTAAAAAGGTCGAAAGGAGATAAGTTCTGTTTTCAAACAAATATTCAAGATTGAAACGCGTGACTTTGTTCATATTGCTTACGAGGGCATTTCTAAAATCATCAACTTGATACGTTTTCTCCGACAGTTCTTCTTTTCGTAAATATCTCATCAATGTGACAGCATGCGGAATTACATCGGAAATAGGAGAATACGTGCTACTAGTTATTTTCGTCACTTCTTCAAAAGGTTTCAATAATATGATTAACTGCAACACTATTTCCCATTGATCGCTTGACAAGTTTTCAAAATTCAAATTTCGAGATTCTGCGAAGTAGACAGAAATAGCTCGTCTCTGTTCAATAATACGTTCCAGTAAATAATAAGTTGAGTTCCATCTGGTAATAACATCTTGATGTAGTTTCTTTTTTGGAAGGCCAAGTTCCTCTTGAATCTCGTGAAGTTTGTTATAACCACTGTGATTGAAATGTGTCACGATTCGTCGAGCAGCAGAAATTGTTTCTTTAACAGAAGTATTAGCGTCTATAGCGTCATTAATTACTAATTGCAGAGTGTGAATAAAACAACGAAAAGAAGGGAAGTTTGCGTCTTTCACACCTTTTGTTATATTTGCTGCATTGTCATGTACAACGGCACGTACTTTCGTAGCTGGTATGTTCCAATCGGAAACCGAATCGAGTAAGCTTTTCTTTATGTTTTCTGCCGTATGACTCTCTGGGAAAACCTTTATATCTAGCACTGCATGACCAAGCATATAACTTTCTTCTAACCAATGGGCAGTACAACTGAGGAAACAAGTTTTGTTAGTTTGACATGTCCACATGTCTGTAGTAAAAGAGATGTGGTTGACCGGTGCCAATCTTGACTTGATATTGTTCACCACTTTGTTATATATATCTGGAATTACATTTTCGCTAAAATATATTCGGCTTGGTATCTCGTACTGCGGTAAAATATTATTGACAAACCGGCGAAACCCTACATGACTTTCCACGATAGAAAATGGCTCGTTATCCACTGCGATCATTTCACCGATTAAATAATGGCACCTCTTTGCTCTAGAATCATTAATATCCCACAACTTTTTCTTTTCTAACATATCTTCTAAAGACGGCTGCTTCAAAAAACCACTCACTTGTGATTGACTGGACTGAGAGACAAATTCTTTGCTACTTGAAGCAATACTTGTAGTACCAAAAACCTCTTCATACTCCGACTTATGTTTAGTCTGCAAATGTCTTTTCATGGACGAAGTAGTCGCAGTTTTTCCCATACCTCCACGTGATAGTTGAACTCCACACAAATTACACTTAGATTTGTTTTTATCAACCTCCACAAAGTATTTCCAAACACCCGACCTTTTCGCACTACTTGACATTTTGTTATATTATAAATTACGCGTTGTCTACATAAAATAATTAATTAAACACACAAGCATAACCTCTTCTCCGTGAATACACGTACAAAAGTGACAAATGAGTTGATAAATTATGAAGTTACGGTTTTCCCCGCTCAAAGGGAATTCCCCGTGCACAGATTCGTCGCGCTGCAATATCGCGCTGTTACTCTGTCTCTGTGTAAGGGAAATAACCGCGCGCCACCCGCTACCGCGTTTTTTAAAGCCGAGCATTCGGCCGAGTATTCGGCCGAGTACTCGGCCCAATCTAGGCCGAGTACTCGGTGGCCGAGTACTCGGCGAATCACTACTCGTTACATGTCTAATTATTAGTGCGAAAACATGACATCAAATATATATTTTTTCCATTTTTAATGAAAGAAAGAACTAACCAAAACTAAGGAAGTTTTATAACTGGTAAAACCATGACTCAAGTTTGAAAATGGAATTCAACGTAGTTGCCAAGTAACTTAACATCCCTGGTGATTTTGTTAGATTATTTAAATATAAAATCATGAATCAAATAAAATCAGCTCCAATTCAGGTATTGATTTGAAAAAGGCATAATGAAAATCGAGAGGCTCCATAAATTGCAACCGATTAACGTAAACAATTCCAGCGATCAAGTGCACGTCATGCATGAGTCAACATTATGGACATTACATTCGTCGGATTCTTAAAAACCACTGCCTCGTATACCACAATCCAAATCCAACACTGCAATCCAATAGTTCGTGAGATTTCACTCGTACGTAGGGTTGAATTGACAGTGCGCGGGCATTGCCATTCCGAGCACGTTCGCTCGCGTACGTATGAATGCCCGCCAAAAGCGAACGCACGCCCTTAGTCGTACCGCAAGTAAAAGAAACGTAGAGACGACTATCGACGCGACCTCACAGCGAGCAACGTAGCGTGCGACTGCCGCAAGAGGGGCGGGCCGCGGGAGCGACAACGACGAGTCGCTCGCAGGTTATCGTCAGCCGTACACAGATAATGATGTCAAAAGTGGATCGGACTAATCTGTATAAGACATTCCAAGTACCAAATCGTTGATGTTGCAGCATCAGCAATGCTTTGTGGCAGTCAAAAGCTAAAATTTCAACAAATATTTGAAAAATGTTATGCATTTATCAAATATTTGTTGAAATTTTAGCTATAGATTGCTATAAAAGCAATGTATAAAAGAGATTGAAAGATAAATGGCAGTTTTAGTAACACACATCAACTTCAACAAAGACCAAATCAAATTCCGAAACAAGTCGAGCGCCGTGCTTAGACATCGACCATAATTTTAATGTCCAGAGAGCCGATCTCATGTCCCTTATAAACAAAATTTGACCGAAGCACAAAAAGCTTAAGGAAACAAATCGCTTAACCATCCCAACTAGCACACACTTCAACAATATTGGTCATATTGTAATATTCGACAAACTTCCGAACCTGCACCGTCGTATCACTGTGTTGGAGCATCACCCGCTTTGATGCGGACGACACGTCTTATTTCTTGAATGTTTAGTGCACAGTCCGGGCAGAAAGTAAGTGATCGTATAATACTCGTAGTTCAATAAGGTCGAAATTCTTTAATACAGTGAAAGCTCTGCGGCATACCTCTTTTTAGCACGATGTTACGAAGCTCTTTACATTTTGGTCGTATTAAGGAGCGGGTTTCGTATGATGAGTGTATCTGTTGATTTAGGTATTGCGGTGGCACGATAATACAAGAAGTAATTTTTTCCCATGTTTTTCCACTCAGCAGCTTATCTCAACCACAGATTAAATAATGTTACTACGTAATCTCAACATTGCTGTATTTTGACGTCACACAACACAAGATCTTGAGAACTAACAACGTCGATATATCCTAAATGTTTATTAGGTACTGCGCGTCTAAACTTGACGCTAAAATAAAAGCTGACATCAATTAGCACACGCGTGCTCTCCAGCGAGACTATTTCTATTCTTTAATTGCTACAAATAAGTGTGTATTAATGAATTAACTATAGGAACTGTTTTCAAATTAAACAAAGTCCGAAACTTAAACGTACTACTAACGTACTAAACTTTCAATTTTATTTCTTATACAAACTGTCTTAAAAGATAATAATGAAATTAAATTTAGAGCCGAAATATAATTATATAGTGGTGTAAACATATTTCAAAATACAAGAACACCGATTTTAACATTCATGTCGACAAAAATCATTTCGGAAAAAGGAAGACAATAAAAATTTGTTTCAAAACTGGGTTCGTATCATATCAGCCACTTATAATAGTGTATCGATAAATATAAATAATAGTATTTCAATAAGAGAGCAGTTAAAACTCTACGATAAATCTTTAAATTACCCGAAATGTTCATAATGACTTAGCTCAAGTCCATATTACTACAACCTTTGAAAGTACACAACATCTGTTCCCCACTGTTTACCGTCGTCGCGGTCGAACAAGAAAATTAGCTATATTGAACATGAAGCGAATTGCACACAGATAACTAATGTCTAATACGCCGTGACCCAAATATTGTCCGACATGCGGGGCGCGTTCAGTTGCTAGAGTGGTCTTAAAATCGCCGGAGTGATTTTAATTTTATGTATTTAAAAACCACCCAAGTACAAAAAGTATACCTTAGTTTAATTATGCTACAGCTTCGTGTGAAAATAATGCAGGCATTTTACCAAAGACATTTGAGTATGTAGTAGTAATAGACCGGACATCAGCCACAAAATTGTCGTCTTGGTTATAGGATATATCTCCGATTTTTGTCATTTAGTCTAAGTGAAATCACCGAAAGGTCAAGACGCATTCGTTTTATAAATTTAAAAATATTTTTAAAGAAAATATGTCCGGTTGTGCATTAAGGTATAGTAAGTCACGATATGGAGCAAAAAATGAACATGATATCGGTTTATTATCCTAAAAATAATGTATATTTACCAAATAATCTTTAAATTTTATTATTTCTGGTAGATTGTTCTAGAAGAAAGAAAAATTATTGTAATAAGTGCCCTCTGTTATCCAGTAACGTCACTTTATTTACAAATATGTTAGTAATTGACGACGTGCCTAAAAACGAATTTAACCTTATATTTAGAAGCGTCACCTAATGGGAATATGTGGGGATGTTTTCCAAATAAATATTAAGCGTAGTATTGTTATTTTTCGCTAGAGGGCTTAATACACGCGCGTGCTCACAGTTTTTATATGCAAATGTTCCCAATGTCCGCTCTATAGTTATTATATATTTAAATCTCTTTGCATTTTACTGATATTTACTGATAATTTTATAAAAGCAGTAACGATTAATTTGAAAAGCGAAATAAAATTAAATACTTAGCATATTAAATAAAATTCTCCCAACGTCATACGCAATCAGGAATATTGTTTCCCACGCAAGCAAATTTCCGGAGTATCCAGTTGCGTAGCGGGCACCTGGCAGTGGCAACCCTAGCTGCGAGTCCGAGGCGAGGGAAACAGGCGGATGATCCCTTTGGAACGGCACGGCACGGGGAGATTTAGTGTCGCCGGGGGACGCGCGACCACACTTTCTAGAAGGCTCATGTGGCTCGCGCTTGCTTTAATTTATATTCATTACCGCCATTTCCTCGGATTCAATTACTCAAAGTAATATTCAATTGGTAAATCGTTTTTCAATCATTTTTGATAAAGTAGAAAAATTATAACATGTGAATAATTCATAAAAATACTTACTATTTGACTATGGTAATTATACTGTTTTTAAATGGTTATTTCAGAAGTAATGGTTTCGCAAAGAAAATGTAAAACAACAGAAATATAAACAATAAAAAGAAAACAGCTTATGAAATTCCCTGTATTCCGATTCTTTATCTTGAATCTTAATCTTTTATTAGAAACATTTATACATTTATTTATAACAGCAGATTACAAGTCCACTGCTATAGATTGACCGCCCCCATAAGTTGTCAAGCTACGCAAGCTATTTACGTGGTAGAGCGACGCTGCAGCTATATTACGGGTTTTAGCACGAAAGGGTCGGCTCGACCGAGGCAGGACCACGTTCTCACAGAATACCAGCGTAAAATAGCTGCGTAATGCTGCTGTGTTTCGTATGGTGATTATAGAGAACCGGAGACCCTTTTTACAGGAATCGAGGTATTCCACCTTAGTCCTCAGGGGTGACAAAGCATTTGCATTTTGATTCTTAATTGAGGATAAATGATCAAATTGGGATATCTGTCAAATCCTTATAATCTTTTTTTTTATAAAGAATATTAACAATGCTATAAACATTACTAATATTCCCCTTAACCACTCGTGGTAAGCTTGAATTGCTTGTGTTACGACTGGTTAACACCAGTAGTCGAATGGCGGATTCGAACCCACGACCTTTTTGAGTTCACGATCCGCGCCCTGCCATTAGGCTACTGTCGCTTCGAATTCATCATAACATAATGAATAGACTGATAGAAAATAAAAAAGAGGAATCTATTTCTTCTTCGAACAATAATAAAATGTATTCTCTGATATAATAAAACCGACGCAATTTATGTTCTGTACCTTATTGCAGGAAACATTACTTTTTAAATTTAAAAGCACATCAGTGCATTAATATGATAATAGATGAGTAAGATAGTAAGCCAAACGTGGCACAGGAGTTAAATAATTTTACTGAAGAGGCGTCCGGTTTTATCCAGACAAACTGTGTACCAATGTCATACGTCAAAGCATTAGTGTCGATATCCTTTTAAGACAAAGTGAGCACGAAGCGGCGAGCAATTAAATATATTAGAAATTGTTCTACTAATTTCGCTTTAACGGGGAAGGCCCGGGGAGCGCCGCACTGAATCCCGGTTAAATATGCACGCAAACAGCCCACCGTGCCGGGAATCGGTAGTAAAGAACAACGCCTGAAGGTAGTGCTCTCTAATGTGATTACACATGCGAAGGTTTACGGGTGAATGAATATCCGAGCTTGCAAATAGCGGTCCGTGTGGAATAATCCT